GTCATGATCTCAAGGTCCTGGGATGGAACCCTACATCTGGCAACTGGCTCCTAGTTCAGCAGGGAGTCTGCTTCTCCCTCTCTAACTGCTCCTCCCCGACACTTCGTGCTCTCACGTGCTCTCTCTCCACATGAATGAATAAAATCTTTAAATATATATATAATATATACATATATATAAATTAGAACCATAAGAGATGCTGAGAAGAGATAAAGGAGTATACATCCCTAAACAAGAATCCTGCAATAACAACAACAACAAAAATAGCTAAGCATACAAACCCCTGACCCCAAGCCATCTCTACAAGTAAACTGCACTGCAGTTTTTGCTGAGATGGCATAATTTCCATTTCCCTAAAGTGTAATGAATTTCCTTTGTGAAATAAGTTGGTACCTAAAGTGAACATTTTGACAAATTTCAGAGAAACCGTAAAAATCCCTAATGTTACTCAATTCTTTACTCATGGACCAAAGCAAAATGGTGATTAAGTATGAGGCATTCACAGGCAATCCTGTGAAATAGATACTGTTCAAAGATAATGTATAGAAAAAGGTAAAATCAGACTCTCATACTGATTGAACACATGTTAAAAACTTTATTTTACTCATATGAGGGAAGCAGGCAGAAATTATAAGGAGTTCAAAAGAAAAGTCAAACAGCACAGATTTATTTATATGGGTAAAAGAAATGTCAAAATGAATTGCAAATGGGACAAAATGAATTGCAAATGGGACTGTTTTGCCCACAGGTGGGTGGGAGTGGGATCACATCACTACTAGATGGGAACATATACATTACCTACAATTTATATAAAGAGTTGCAAAACAGCTCAAAGACAATGACAATGAGCATGGCTAGACTCTGATGATCCAAAGGGTATGCTGTAGATGGTGCGTAGTTTTCTACTGAAATAAAGAAACATGTTCTTTATTTAACTCTACCAGAGAGAAATTCACAGGGTTAATAGAATCAGAAATAAAATCATTCCTGAAAAGGCACTGAATAACAAGAGTAGGGCTTGAGTCTATGTCAGAGCTGCTCAATTTGGAGTGACCCTGTGAAAATAGTTGGAACTACCTAAGTACTACAGATTTGTATGTGTCACTTAAAAGGCCTAAAAGGGCTACATGTCAAACTCTAGATACATAAAACAGAGTCCACTCCCACACTTCCACCCTGCCCTGACATCTCTACCCCAAGTTTATTATTTATCTTTTATATTTTAGGTCCTAAGACTTTCCTTCAGCAATACTGAATGAATCACCTCCATATGTGGGGCCTTGCTCTCTCTCTCTGCTATGAATTCAGAGATGGCAAAATTTACTTCTTCCTCAGATGATATTACCCACCCCTCTATGTCTCAGACTTGTGTGGCAAAAAAAGTTGATGGCAGGTATAAACATACTGAAATCCCTGGGGTATAACTGTTTGTTTTCTGGTTCTGAAGCAAGCAGCACAGAAAGGATGGGTAAAATGAAAGCTTTTCAGATTAGCAGGACAAAATTGAGAGGAGTTGGTACTACCTGTGGTGGGAAGGTGAGTGATACAGGTCATAAACACTTTGTTTCTGCAAAAGCCCTATCCACCAAAGACCACCAGAGACAAGGTTTTACATGGGCAAAATCAGATATAATAACCCAAGTCAGCGAGAGAGGGTACCCCAAAGGAACTATGTGCTGCTATCCAAGAGGGAGGAGAAATGCATCTTTTGTAAAATTGGGTTCCTAATGAAAGATTCTGAGAAGGGTCCCATTTCTGTATTGGGTGCTATTTCTGAGGTAGGATTAGGAGAAGCAGCAATTAACTAGTGATTCAGTGCTATCATGATGTGAGGGAGGATTACCAGTTGGGTGTCCCTGGTAATAGATAGGAATAGCAAATGGATCTAGAGATATCATTGATAAGAAAGCAGTAGTCACTCGAAGAGGGGGTCACTGGGCATTAAAGACTTCTCAGAAGCACATTGTGAGTGCTTTGAAGAGAGCAACCTGAATTCTCATGCCTACCAACTCATAGTTCCTTCCCCATGGTGGCAGTTCCAAAGGGCCATGTTAGCTTTATTCTCTAAGCAGGGCTGTTGAAAGAATCCTAGAGAACAGGGAGTTCATAAAATGTTGGCAATTTGTTGGCAGAATGGCAACTACATCCTCTGAGAAATCATGAAACAAACTCCCTGCATAGTAGGAAATTTGTGTATTAACTTTTGACTCCCTGGAAACTACTAATAGCTTAATGTTGCCTGGAAGCCTTATCAGTAACATGAATAGCCTATTAACACATTTTTTATGTTATACACATTATACACTGTATTTTTATAATAAAGTAAGCTAGAGAAGAGAAAATGTTAATAAAATCATAAGAGAAAATACATTTAGAGTACCGTACTGCAAAAAAATGTGTATATAAGTGGGCCCATGCAGTCAAATCCATATTGTTTAAGGGTTAACTGTATTAAAGCTATAAAGAGATGTATGGTAACAAACATTTCATTAAATGCTCTTCTGTGTCAGACATTGTGCCATTATAGATATTATCTCATATTTGGAGTACTCAAGAATTATAGAAGTACTTATCAAGGTTTTTAATGTCATGAATTAGATATGGGACAGTATAGTAGGGTTGCTAATTCTATATTTTATTAAAAAACAAAGTAAAATAGGGATGCCTGGGTATCTCAGTCGGTTAAGTGTCCGACTCTTGGTTTTGACTCAAGTCATGATCTCATGGGTCGTGGGATCAAGTCCTGCACTGGCTCTGTGCTCAGTGGGGAGTCTGAGATTCTCTCCCTTTGGCTCCTTCCCCACCTCTCTCTCTCTCTAAAATAAACAAATCTTAAAAAAAAAAACCAAAGAATAAAACAGAACTTACCATCTATCCTCATCATTATTTATAAATAGAAGATATTCTAATACTTCCAAATATATTAAAAACATAATCACAGAGGAAAATTTTAATGAGCTAGCTTTATCTCACCAAATTCTTTATTTTTCCCTGAAGAGCATAGTACAAGCAGTTCAGAGCTGCTGTTACAGAATACTCAAGATTTGCAGAAGTGGAAAGAAGACCTTCACTGATTTAAGTCAGAACACCAGTAGTCACTTCTTTCTTACTTGGTTGGTTATGATTCCTTCATCACAAAAGGATGAGATATTAAAAGATATAATGTGACAGCTGTTATGCTGAATTTCTCTTGCCCTGAAAAAAATTGCCTATAATGAAGATATGGCAGTGACATCTGCAGGCTGTGTGTTCATTCGGGAAGAAGGCTCCACACGTTCCAGACAAAACAGGTGCTTATTGTGTTCCCCAGGGACTCTCTCACAAATTTCTGCCGTTGTATCAGTTTCCCCTCTTCTCTTTCAAAAACAGATCCCACTATTTTACCTGTAAAGCAGCCACTGAATTAAATGCTCTCCCAAGAACCACTGTGTTTAGGTTGGCAATTCTGGGTTTTAACACGACCGTCACCACTGACTCCTTGCAGTTGATATGAACCACAGTAGCATGCTATGCTAAACAAGGGACAAGAAAACAGTAGGATATGAAAATATCTACAATAGTGTAGACTACTTCTCTAGGAAGCAGCTCACATGGCCAAGCAAGAGTATGACAGATAAGACATCACAGTTCTAAGTGTTGTCATTCACTCTCCTTGAATCCAAGTGAGAGGATTGGGCAGTTTTATAATTTCAAAGAAGACAAAATGATGGTAAAGGATTCATAGAACTGAGTTGGAACTAGTAAATTCACTCCAAGATAAAAGTGAGGGAGATTCAGGGGCACCTGGGTGGCTCAGTCAGTTAAGCGTCTGCCTTCCACTCAGGTCATGATCTCAGGGTCCTGGGATCAAGCCCCACGTGGGGCTCCCTGCTCAGCCGAGAGCCCGCTTTTCCCTCTCCCTCTGCCTCTCCTCCTGCTTGTGCTCTCTTGCTCTCTCTCTGACAAATAAATAAAATCTAAAAAAAACTTAGAGCAATATTGACACCTCTGCTCAAATTAATTAATAAATATCCTTCTCAGTAGACTCTCTTGTCAAGGAAAAGTTCTTGTTTATTTAACTCCCTTTTCCAAAGAAACCATATGAACGAATAAAAGTCTAAAATAGTACAGTAAAATATATCTTCAACCAACCTGCCACAAGTCCACATGACAAACTTAGCAGAAACACAAAATCTGGATCAAATAAAAGAAAGAAGCTACAGAGAACACTTTACATGTTGATCACAGTGCAGAGGTCTGAATATAGATGAAAGGCAAGAAAAGGCCTTGAAAACAACCCTTTTTTGAAATGATAAAAGCAGAAGGAGAGACATAGGAGTTCTCCATTTTGGTAATTTCATTTTACTCTTTATAATGAAAATTTCAAGTACAGACAAAGGCAGAGAAAATAATGTAATAAACCACATGTGTCCATTACTCAGATTTAAAAATATTCAACTATAAATGAAGCAGGCAGAACAGATTTGGAGATACACTGGGTCTCTGGTGGTAGATCAGTTCCCTACATAAAATTAGCTCAGCTTCTATATTTTTACTTATACAAACAACCAAACAAAAACCCTACTGCTAAAGCCATTAGGGTTCTTCACTCAGGAAGAGTCCTAAATGATACGAGATGAAGCAGGGCAGAGAATACTGGGCAACAATGAGCTGAGATTCAGGTTTGCAGTTTCAGGTGAAAGTCAATTGAGGTAAGTTAAGAACAATGCAACCAAAAGTTTGGGGACCAAGGGGATTTCACAGTCACTCACTTGCCAACATGAAACTTGCTCTCCTCAAAGCAAGGTAAAGGATTAACTCTGAGGTAGCCTCACACTTCTAATCAAGGGAGCACATACAGCCCTCTGGCAGATGGTATTGCAAATTTGGCAAGCGCTAAGAGAGAGCTTACCCAAATTAAAATTACCAGCAGCCAACTGTCAGTTCACTCCAGATACCACTGCCACCTCCCACGCTCAAAAAACACAAGATCTAACCGAGATTACAAACCACCAATTCAGTCACTAAGTGAAAAATGAAAAGTATCCAGGGAAGCGAAGAAAGAAGCTGAGTGGAATCCTCCAGTATTTTTTCTAAGGCAAAATAACGACACAGATAAGAACTTCTACTCAAAGGTATGTAAAACGACAATCTGGCCTTGGATCTCTGTAAATACACTGTATCAAACAAAAAGAAGGACATAGACATTAGAAGTGAAGTTCAAGTACAGAATACATGTTGAAATCCAAAAAAAAAAAACCCAGAAGAAAACTTTTGCAAAATTGTTTTTGTATTCTCAAAAGAACTAGAAGCTATCAATGAAGAGAGTACTGAAGATGGAAGATACAACGACATGGAGAAAAAGTTATGATGGTGATATTTTTTCTTATTCTTGAACTTCCTTCATCTAGCTCCACATCATCTTGACAGTAAGTATTCTTTTTCTTTTTCTGGAACTCAGAAGGTTCTGGATTCAGATAGTCCTTTATTGTAAAGTTTTATTTTTTCCTTGACTAATTTTTCTATTCTTTTGTTCTGTTTTTCTTCTTCAATTGGACGAATTAGAAATCTTTTGGTCTCTATGGCCTGTATTCCATATATATCATCTTTTTATTAAGATTTAGAAGAAAAACAAAAAACAAAATTTATCATAGATCTGAAAGTAAGGAAGCACTAAGGACTAGACCTAAGATGACAAAGAAGCATATCAGTAACTTTGAGGACAGGCTTGAGAAATGGTGAAAATGTAATGGAAGACTAAAAAATAATTTAGTATAAACAAACTAACAAATAAATAAATATCTGAACCCAGGTAGAAAGATCTTATGTTATACAAAGGAGGGGGAAATTACATTACTCTCACTCTTCTCCACAAAACATTAGATTCCAGAAGAAAAGAGACCATTTGCATAAAAAGCTAAGGGGAAGGTCTATTCTAATAGAATTTCATAACCAGCCAAGATATCATTTTTAGATTTAAATAATGGGAAGTAAAGGCTCAATATTTGTAGTACTCACAAACTCTTCAAAAAAAAACCATTTAAATAAATAAGGCAGTTCACTTTTTCTTTAACTAACTAAAGTTCATATTCTATTCAAATTTCTTCAGAATTTTCCTATTTTCTTCTATTCCAAGATTCTCCTGCATTCCTAACTCACAAAACTGTAATATAGTAAGTATTTGTTGCTCTAAGCTGCTAGTTTTGGGGCATTTTGTTACATAGCAATAGATAAGCTATTAATTACAATTGTGTAGCCCCAAATTAGGTAGTGTGGTTTTTCCACTCTGCTTGCACTTTTCCTAAGTATTAATTTACTATATCTATTCCCTTTGCATTTTCACCTAATGTTTTGAATTGATTTCAATAAACTGCATGGTTTGAGCATTTTAATTTCACTAGTGAGCCTTTCTGTTCCGTGATCTCTGACTTGGAATCTACCATTATATCAAGGCAATTTCCCACAGCAACAGCATTATTATCAATGGTGGCTGCCACAATTCTCACAAAGTCTCCCTCCCAATTCTGGGGGCTAAGGATGTGTAAATAGTTTTCCTGAAGGTCCTCAGCTGGTTCGTTAGGAGGGATTTGTTATTTTTACACGGAGTAAATATGCTGAAGAAGCCTTGGAAATAATTTGAAGAGTAAGGTAAATTTCCAAAGAAAATTTAGAACTCCACCCTGAACATAAGCAGAAATTGCTATCAGTGCCGGTCACAAGCTGATCCAGAAGCATTTCTTGATCAACAGACCAACCTTTGACTCTTCTCAGACTGACTTCTAGATATAACTGCAGCTGACCCCTCATTTTGTGTTTCTTCTGACCTCTAGCCACAGTCACAGACTGAAGCTTAACACTGTAACCTGTTTCACAAATATAGGGTGTTGGGGGGTTGTGGTTGTGTTAACATTGCCTAGTCCCATTTCTGGGCAGCTACAACTCAGTTAGGATTACTCAACTGGTATAGAGGTGGGAAAGAACAACTCAGAAAATAAACAGTGTTCAGATGGTATTTATGGGAAAAACATAAATCATTGACCTCAAGTCAACAAGTGGTTATTGAAGATTTAACTATGTGCCAGGTTCTACCCCAGGTGCTATGAAAAATAAAACAATGACTAAGACTCAGTTCTTGACAAAAACCTTTGAGACACATTTACTCATGAGTGATAGAGTCACAATTTTTCCTCACAAAGAGAGCACGGTGGAAAGGATGACACCACGAGGCAGATGCAAGTAAGAATGCTGATGACTATGCTCGCAAGTGGATAATAAGTTTTGTGTGAGGCCCACACCATGTCATGTACTAGAGGAAAATTTTACTTCTTATATAAAAACTAATGTTTAGGGTTTTTTTTATAGTTTCCATAAATAATAACCACAAATTTGGCAACTTATTTTTTTTTTAACATTTTAGTCATTATCTCACTTTTTTTTTTTAAAGATTTTATTTATTTATTTGAGAGAGAGAGAATGAGAGAGAGAGCACATGAGAGGGGGGAGGGTCAGAGGGAGAAGCAGACTCCCCGCTGAGCAGGGAGCCCGACGCGGGACTCGATCCAGGGACTCCAGGATCATGACCTGAGCCGAAGGCAGTCGCCTAACCAACTGAGCCACCCAGGCGCCCACAAATTTGGCAACTTAAAAATACGTTTTATCATCTCACAGTTCTGTGGGTGAGAGATCTGGGCAGAGCATGGCTCAGCTGTTTTTCTTTTTAAGATTTTTTAAAATTTATTTATTTGAGAGAGGGAGAGAGAGAGAGAGTTAGAGAGAGCACAGCAGAGTGAAGAGCAGAGGGAAAAGCAGACTCCCCGCTGAGCAGGGAGCCTGATGCAGGACCTGGGATCATGACCAAGAGCTGAAGGCAGATGCTTAACCAACTGAGCCACCCAGGTGTCCCTCAGCTGTTTTTCTACCCCAGGTTTCATAAGGCTGAAACCAACATGGCAGTAGGGCTGTATTCCTTATCTAGAGGCTCTAGGATGAATCTATGTCCCAGCTCATTCAGCTTATTGGCAATATTCAGTTCCTTGTGATGTGGGACTGAGGACGCTGTTGTCTTGCTGGCTGTCAGCTAGGGGCTGTTTTCAGATTCTAGAGAGTAACTACATTCCTTAGCTCATGTCCCTCTTCCATTTTCAAAGACAGCAGTGGTAAGTCAAGTTCTTCTCACACTTAAGATCTCTCTGTCTTCCCCTCCTGCCTCATCTTTCCTGACTTCTACTGCATCTCTCTGACTTTTCTGCCTTCTTCTTCTCCTTTTAAGGGTGTATGTGATTAAATTATGCCCACCCAGAAATCCAAGATTATCTTCTTATTTTAAAGTTAGCTTCTTAGTAGCTTTATTATATGTGCAAAGTTCTTTTACCACAATACCTAGCTTAGTGTTTGAATAACCAGGGGCAGAAATATTGGGGGTGGGGTTGGGAACATCTTTAAAATTTTGCCAACCCCAATTCTCAACAGAGCTCCTGCACTGAAAAAATGCTCATTTGTTCCTTCAATACAAAAACCATAAATCACAGATTCTTCCAGGGCTGGAAATTTGCAGAAAATGGGGTGAAATGATGGGAACTGTTAATTCCATACAAATGTAAAGACTAGAATGATTTTGCTGTTTAAATATCAGTTCTATTTGGAGCCAGCAATCACAGATGTCGACTATGTGTTTTTTTTTTTTTTTTTAAATTCCAAAATGATTTTTATTTACATTAGTCATCTTTTTTTTTTTTTTTAAATTTTTTTTTTATTCTTATGTTAATCCCCATACATTACATCATTAGTTCTAGATGAAGTGTTCCATGATTCATTGTTCGTGCACAACACCCAGTGCTCCATGCAGAACGTGCCCTCCTCAATACCCACCACCAGGCCAACCCATCCTCCCACCCCCCTCCCCTCTAGAACCCTCAGTTTGTTTTTCAGAGTCCATCTTCTCTCATGGTTCGTCCACCCCTCCGATTTCCCCCGCTTCATTCCTCCCCTCTCGCTACCTTCTTCTTCTTCTTTTTTTTTCTTAACATATCTTGCATTATTTGTCTCAGAGGTACAGATCTGAGACTCAACAGTCCTGCACAATTCACAGCGCTTAACAGAGCACGTACCCTCCCCAGTTCGACTATGTGTTTTTTAAAAAAAATCAATACATTCCTGGAGTGATGATCAGTTAGAAGGGTTATAAATTTCATGTATGGCTTACAAGAAATGGATAGGGAAACTTGCCCAGTATATTGACTATTTTGTCTTTGAAATGTAGCCATCAATTATAAAGGCCTCTTATGCAGAAGAAACCAGATTTATGACTGTTTGGAGGAGGAGCAGGGGTATAAGCCTTTACTGAGCTTTGACTTGGGGCCAGAAATTAGTGAGTCATTATTATAATCATGTCTTTTGGCTTTATGTGTCAGCAGAGTAGGTTTCTTGTCCTCCCTGTGTTTTCCCCCCAGGGCAGAGCCAAAGGAGGTGAGGAGGTAAGGAGGCCCAGCAGGCTCAGCTAGCCAAGACTTGCCATGAGGCTGCTCATTTCTGGAGGCCAGGCTGCCATGGGAATTTTTATTATAGATGGAAGAAACAAAGATGCTCATCATTTTGGCCATTTGAAAAACACTTCTTGATTTTTCAGGTTTATATTTTTTCCTATTTGGATAATATGCAGCAGGTCTTCATTAGGGTGAACAGATAGCTTGCTAACTTCTCTTTTATGAAGTTTCGCTTAGGAACACATGCCATGGTTTTAAAACAGGGAAAATTGGGTGCAGGATCTTCCCTTTAGAGCCTTAAACAAAATGAAGATATTTTACTTTAAAATACAATCACTTAATTTAATAATTTAAAATATTTAGGTTTGCCTGTTTGTTTTCATTATAAAACAGGGCAATCGATGCCTCTAGCCACCTTCTTAGAGTGAGAGTTGGAACAGCGCCAGGGAAGGTAGCACCAGCCTTGGGGGAAGGACTGCACTGCTAAAAGCTGGAGCCAATCACTACTGTCTAGGAAACTGGCTAGAAAGTGGGTAATTTCCTGAGAAACTCTACGGCCAAATGTAACCATGTGTAAAAAAGGGAATATCACCTCTACAAAGGTGAACCATTAATTTTATTTTCATTTTTGAGGAGTACTTTCCCACAGTTGAAAAAAACTAGGTACATATATATACACATATATGCATGTATACAAACATATGCGTGTATACATACACATACACGTGTGTGTATATGTATGCATGAGGTTTGCTCCTACTTTTGGCCCCATCTTCTTGGATTCCTACCACCACCCCTTGTTTTTGAAGGGAGCTATCTTTATTACTGTCTTCTTTATCCTTTAAGAGTTTTTTCATGCATATAAAAGCAAGTATTAATATATTGTCTTATCTCCTTTGTACACAAAATACAATATACTCTGGTCTGTACCCTTTTTTCACTTATAA